TGTTATTATTATTATTGAATTCTGATAGGTTAGAAAGTATTAAAAGAACCCAGAAAAATATTTATGAAAAATCTTGAATTGAATTAAAAGTAAAATAATAAGAAGAAAAGGGAAAAACTAAATAAGTAATAAAGAGCGAGAGAGAGAGAGAGGTAGAGAGAGTAAGAAAGAGAAAATAATGATAATAATAATGATAATAATGCATTAAGAAACTGAAAAAGATTTAAGAAGAAATTAAAAAGGAAATTAAAGGAGAAATCATAAAAATTGTCGGAATATAAAACTTGCGCCTGCTCACAGCTGTATCCATAATATAGTACATCAATTGAGGACAAGCCTATCTATAATATAATATAACATGAGCTAAAGCTCAAATCGTGTAGGGTATTTGCTAGTCAGGCATTTAAAGCTGGGTATTCGACTTGTTGTTGTTTGTCTTGTTGTTGCTGTTTTTTTAAGTTTACTTAAATTTGAGTGCAACGGCGACAACTACACACACACACACACACATACTCACACACACATACCTATGTGTTTAGTTGCTGTGGCAACACTTGGCAGATGTCCTCTTGGCGAGTGTTTTGCCTTTTGCTGCTGCGGCACTCAAAGGGCGGCGTCGGCGCATTGCACTGTGCATAATTTAGCAAACATTTGCCACAGAGTTGCACACACACACACACTCACATACAGACAGGCACACACTCACACACACATAGGTGACTAAGCGACGAGACCTCTGCGTCACTGAGGGCAAATAAATAGGTGCAACACGAAGGACTAAGACCTAATACCACAAAAGAATAAATAAAAATTCTAGCCACAAGCCCTGCACGACTAGACAATGCCCTGTAATAAGCATAATTATGATTCTCAGTTGAGTTTTGTATGGCAATCAGAGTTATTAGAGCTGCAAAAGTACAGGGTATTCTCTTGAACAGAACCGCCGATGACCACAAATGAATCGGAATCGGCAAATGTGAACGCAGTTGAGAAAGGTCCAGGTTCTGGTTAGATATCGTAATCCCTGGCAGCCGTTTGACAATTTACCGAGGTTATGAATCCAGCAAGCGAGAGAGAGAGAGAGAGAGAAAGAGAGAGCGAGAGAGAGCGAGAGAGAGCGAGAGAGATAGACGATGTCGAGAGAGATTCGAGTTATGTGACATAAGACGACAAGTTGGCAAGCTGTGGAGCGCTTCAAAGAGACAGCCACAAATCAAACAATTTCCGCTGTTTATGCGAGGCATGCACCACCAAGCCGTACAGCCAGCCAGCGAACGGAAGAGGATGAGGTGCACACACGCATACACCCATATGTGCACACACACACATATATATATTAGCTACGCACACATGCAGCGAATGGAAGCGTGAAAATGCAATTTGTTGCGTGGAGTCGTCAGTTTATTGAATTTATTTATATGCAGTCGCTTGCTTAGACATTGACTGATTGAACGATTGATTGATTGAGCGATTGAGTCACTGAGTGCAAAAACGAATTTCATTTAAAGCACTCACGCATACACACACACACAGAGAGAGAGAGAGAGAGAGAGAGTGAGAGAGGACTACTAGCCGTGTGTGTGACCTCTGCTAGCCAAAAGAGTTGAAATATGCATTAAGTTAGCTCGAGGGACTTGAACTGGCAATCGATACGTTTGTCTAGCCAAGCTCCAACAATGTGAATGAAGCAGGCAAATAGATATATTTAGTCGGTATATGCAGTAAGTTATATTGTAATATTATAATTAAATATTGAACAAAGTTCGAGTCCAGGCAAGCTTAAGGTAAATTTGAATTGAAATAGTAGCAAAAGAAGTCAGCAAATGAAGCACAATCTACTTTAATATTATATTAAATTATAAATAGAGCAATATGTGGAAATATGAAAGAAAGGAGAGAAACCAAAGATGGAACTTATTAACTGTTAATCGAGAGATATGGAGAGATCTTAAGTATTATGTTTATTCAGTTCTTATTAGTATAAACTATAGATAAACTAAGGTGAAATATGAAAGGAAAGATCTCATAAACTGAGGATAGACCTTATAAACTATAGAGAGGCGGATCTGGAGAGATCTTAAAAGTTATGTTCATTGAGAACATAGAGAACTATGATGATACATGAACGGAAAGATCTCATAAACTAAGGATAGACTTTATTAACTATCGATCGAGAGATATAGAGAGATCTTAAATAGTATGTTCATTATTATAAACTATAGGTAGAGAACTCAGGTGATATATGAATGAAAATATCTCATAAACTGAGGATAGATCTTATTAACTATAGATAAAAGGATATAGAGAGATTTGAAAAAGATGTTCATTGACATCGTAGTGAAGATATTCATGTCCAGAACGAAGGATTGCCTATAATATGTTTATCAAAATATACAGAGCTTAAGAGCTATCTTATAAAAATCTAATACAATCAAAATAGTATCAGCTCACCAGCTATATGCTATCACAGCTAGAAGAAGGAACTATTGTAAATTATCTACAGATATATCTTATAAAAATCTGATAGCAACGAATTGGAGAGGCTTACATAGATCTGGCCTATACCGAGAGATATACATTCAAAGCTATATTCATTGGAATTGTACCAAGAGTAGTATAGATACTGCTAATGCACCAGTCTTCCAGTCTGCCAGTCTTCACAGCCAGATGGCGCTAGCAAATGAATCGAATTACGATTCGTTTCAATCGTTGGCTCTGCCAGACGCTTGGCTGGCTCGATTTTGTGGCTTGGGCTTAAAGGATTTTGTCAGTTTAGTTATTAAAAACTCACTTGTGCAAACATCAGAGAGAAAGAGAGAGAGAGAGGGAGAGAGTGTGTGTGAGTAAGAGAGGGAGCATGTTATAGGCAGCAGCTTGAACTGGACGCTGGTCGCTGGCCAGTCGAGCACTGAGGCCATTCAGTTGTGTGTGCGTGTGTGTGTGTGTGTGCTTGGTCGGCTGGCTTGGTTGCCCTCTGCTTATTGGGGCCTTTGCTTCGATTTAACGCTGACACATATCGCTGGAGAGAACTCTGCTTCTTGTTTTATTTTTTTTTCTCTCTTTCTTTCAGTGCATTTGCTTTGGCTATATTTGCCTTGCATTGCTGCTGCTGTTGACTAAAGAGAGCTTTTGGCTCTGCAATTGTGTGTGTGTGTGTGTGTCTTTGTGTGTGTTTGCCTTAGAATTCCCCAAATTGTAATTTTATAGCTGCGTCATTGCCCAAATGCTCAAATAGACTTTAGCCCAGCGCCCCGCTTGCAGGCCAACTTTTTATGCCGGCCAACACTTGAAGGAACTTTTCTGCTTCTTCTTCGCCTGCATCTTTTGCCGTTTTTTGTTGCCTTTGGCATTTACTTTTGCTTCACGTTTTCTTTCTTGCTTCTTGCTGCTTCTTCTTCTTTTTCTTGTTGGCACTGGCTCTCTTACGGGCTATTCTGTTGCTTTGGTTCTTTTTATTTCGTTTCGACTCCCCTCTAGCATTTCAGCTTTAGCTTCAGCTTTGGCTTTGGCTTGGGCTTTGGCTGTCTGTCCCAATTCGATTTCATCTGCTGCCAAAGTGCTGCCAACTGAATGCAATTGCATTGCCATTGGCCACATCTTCCCCCCCGTCTGCCTATCTATCTATCTATCTATCCATCTAACAATCCAACCAGCTGACTATCATTCTATCTGGCTCCATCGCACTTGCATGTAATTTGGCATTACAGCGCCATATAAATACCCTGGTATGGAGCATGGAGTGAGGGGTATACACTGCTATGGAATTTGATAATACATATGCATATGCATATGCGAATTGGGCTTTTCCTTGGAGTAGAGTGGAGAGGGCAGAGCATTAGTTAGTCGTTGAGCATGGTTTATTGATTGGTTGTTAAAGTGTTGCCAACTACATGCAGCTGTCGAGTTGCCTTGGCTAACGGTTCTTCTGTTTTTTGGCTATCTAAAAGGGGCAGCACTTGCTGCAGAGTCGGACGCATCCTGTTGCATGCCGTGGGCGAGCGACAATATGCGATTAGATTGCCATTCACGGTAGGCCGATGAGTTTATATATAAATATATATTGTATATAGAGGGAGATGGAGTGAGAAAGTGAGAGAGAGAGACAGAGAGAAAGAGAGGGAGTAGAGACTCTCGAACATAGTTGGCCAAAGCGCATATTTTATTCAATGCTTCATTTAGCCCGGCGAACTGTCGAACTGGCCAAAGGCCATATCCAATTTTAGTTTCGAAATTGCAACTGCAATTGCAATTCCAGCAGCAGCAGCAGCAACAGGAACTCTCAACACTTTTGGCCGCACATAAATCAACTTTAAATTAAATGCTCGACGGCAAATCGGTATCAAAAATGTCTCTGTAACAATAATGGCAAAGTCGTTTATTTAGCTGCCCGTTGCGATAGCATTTGGCTAAATTGTGTGCCAGATCTCGTTGGGCGAGAGAGAGAGAGAGGGAGAGGGAGAGAGAGCCCAGCATCCTGCTGCTATCATTGTGTTGCCATTATTGCTCCTGCTGCTGCTCCCGCTCCTGCTGCTGTAGCTGCCGAGGGTCCCTCGATAGGCAACGGAAACTCAAACACACACACACACACTCGCAGCAAGAACTATAAGTAATATCCTCTATTTTTTTGCATTGGGCGTGGCTAGCACAAGATTTAATCGCAATCAGCTGAGAGTGAGACAGACAGATAGAAAGAGAAAGAGAGAGCGATATATATATACATATAGAATAGATGCTGCATAAGAAAGGAGATATGGTTTTTAACAACATGTTCATTATGCAACAATACGAAATGCGAAATACGAATTGCCGCTGCTACTCCCCCTGCTGCTACTCCCCCTGCTGCTACTCCCCCTGCTGCTACTCCTCCTGCTGCTACTCCCCCTGCTGCTGCCACAATGCGTGCCCCTACCAGAAATCTACGCTCACACACACACACACACACATACATACATACGTACACATGCATACATATCTACGTACACCCAATTGAACCTTTACTTATGCATTATGCTTGCACTTTATTCACAGGTTCACCACAGCCCACATATCGTTGGCTCAAGGATGGCATACCCGTTGCCGATTATTCATCCAGTCAATTTTATCGCATTCACAACACGAAGCGCGAGGATGCTGGCAGCTATCAGTGCATAGCCAGAAACGAGGCTGGCTCCATTTTCAGCGAGAAGAGTGAAGTTGTTGTTGCCTGTAAGTACAAGCACACACACATATATATATATATCGTATATATATGTATATGTATATATAGTTGTATCGGCTGCTGGCTGTCCCTTTGTGACAAATTCAGCTTCAAGTGTTCCATCAAGCCATTGTAATTAGCCTGCTGCTTATGACGTGTGAACACATTTCTAACTACCTGTCTGCATGTCAATGTGACATGTTTTGTATTGAACTCAGATGCACACACACACGCACACACACCCATAACCATTAAGCACTTGGTCCAACAAGGCTCAGTCTCAGCTGAAGTGGCTCGAATGTGGTTTGTATCACAAATAGCATAAATAAAATATATATAAAACATATGGAAAAATATTTATAAATAAATAGAACTAGCTGAAATGGTTGACTGACTGACTGACTGATTGATTGCTTGACTGTCTGAAGAGCTATGGTCTACCAAACATATGAAATGCCTTATTGAAAAATATAGCTCAAAGGACTCAGAAACAGATGCATTCCCTCTGCTGATTTTAATGATATATGTATAAATATACAGTAAATACATATATAGGTATAACTCTATATAAAGCTAACTAAAAATATGCGACTAATCAGCTCTTGTTACGGTAACAGCTGCATTTGATTTACAGTCTTAGGCAAGTGTAGCACAGCTGCTCATTATTTATAATTAGACGTTATGAACAGCAATTATTTAACAATATTTGACATGTGAATTAGGTTGAGCTTAGACAACAGAACAGAAATCAATAATGTTGTAAAGAAAACTTGGTTATGCTCAGAAACTAACAAAATGAATGTTATGAATATTCGTATTATGAATTAGGAATCATGTATTCTGAATTATGAATATAAGCTAGGAGTGAATATAGTAAAACACGAGAGACTCCAGTCTTGAATGCTAGACAATTTCGGTCTTAGGCAAGTGCTGAATATCAATTTGAAATGTTTCTTGGTAAAGTCGGTAGAGCTGGTAGAGGTAATATTTATCGAAAAGGTAGAGCTGGTAGATAATATTTATCGAAACGGTAGATCTGGAAGGGGTAATATTTATCGAAAGGGTAGTGCTGGCAGAGGTAATATTCATCGAAACGGTAGATGTGGAAGAGGTAATATTTATCAAAACGGTAGATTTGGAAGAGGTAATATTTATGGAAACGGTAGTGCTGGTAGAGGTAATATTCATCGAAACGGTAGTGCTAGTAGAGGTAATATTCATCAAAACGGTAGATGTGGAAGAGCTAATATTTATCAAAACGGTAGATTTGGAAGAGGTAATATTTATCGAAACGGTAGAACTGATAGAAGTCATATTTATCGAAAAGGTAGAGGTGCTCGATAGCCGCGATATCATTTAGAGCTACAATTCTTCATTAAAGTAGGAAGCTGTTGAAAAATACAAGATTTCAAGGCGTTAAGTCTTCATAAAAAGAGTTAGAGATGAACGAGTCTAGAGAGACGATCAATGGGAAATGGCTAATGGACTTTGCAGCTCAGCAAAAGTTTATATACTTTTGCTTAAAGACTTGTACTATACCCCAAATATTACATATTTAATGGGTGTACATATGATAAGAGTTAAGAGATGTTTCAACTTACCAGCGATCGCTTCATCTAGTTAAAGAAAGAGCAAGTCCGCAATGATTATGAAATGAATTTGAAAGTTTTTCGTTCGTCTTCCGTTTCAATAATATTGTCTGAAATGAAATAACTCTGTAGGAGGCTTATCTTAACCCCCTTCTCGAAAGAAAGTCCAGGGCAATCTAAGTTCTCAGAAACTTGACCAAAGATCGAGAAGGAAAATGAAAACTTTGACGCGCCTGGAAGTGTGCTTGGGGATTATTATTTTGTATATAAAGAACAAGGGGCACTCTGATAATGCCGAGCACACATATTATTACTGTTAGTTCAATTAGTTATTATTAGCTATAAGCAGTAAGTAGATAATTGATGAAGCACTTGAGAGGGAGCACAAGGAGATGGCGCTCCGATTGCCAGCATAGACAATGGCAACTCTTGTTGTCAGCTGTTGCGGCTCCTGCTGAGTTGTTGCAGCAGCAGCTGACTTCAGCTGGGAGTCACGTGCAACGCTATGTGTCAACTGACAACTTGATAAGTGACAAGGATGCTTGAGGGAGAGAGGGGTGTGTGTGTGTGTGTGTGTGTGTGTGTGTCATGAGAGCAGAGAGTTGGGAAGGCCATCAAGCTGGCAATTAAGGGCTGGTTGCCAATCAAACGCTTGTCACACAGCTCGCCTAGCTATAGGTATAGCTGTTAATTTTTCTTAAATGCGAACTTAATTACAACAACAACAACAGCAAGAGCAAGAGGAAGAGCAAGCAGTTTTGTGGCAATAGGGTCACAGCCGAGCAGAGTAACATACAATTAGAGAGCTGTAAGTGTAATGCACATGCCGAGAGAGTGCGAAAGAGAGAGAGAGAGAGCGCCCGTGCGAATGTGTAAGACTCTGAGCCGACACTTGGGCTATGGGTATGCGAGTGTGTGTGTGCGTGTGTGTGTGCACCACACATTACCCAACTGCTTGAACCTAATAAATCGAGCTCTTGACAAGCTGGTGACCTTCTTTTCGGGCACACCAGCCATGAAGCTGACGAGCTGCTTGATAACGTTGATGATGACGATGACGATGACGACGACGATGATGATGACGACGACGACGATGACGACTCGTGCTGCATAGGAGTGACCCAAGACAGCGCTGAACTGAAGCGTCTTGAGCACTTAATTAATTGTAGGAGAGCGCTTAAACTGAACTAATAACCTTTAGAGCTCATAGTTTGGGCCCTGGAGAGGGTTGCCTTTTCAGCACACTGAATTGAAGTGAAGTGGGGCATGCTGGGTCTGTGCGCTGTGCCTGTGCGCTGTGCCACTTGATAAGAGGTTAAACAAAAATTGCCAGCCCGCAGGTCAGAGGCCATTGCTGCCTGATTCAATTAGCTCGCGTGACACAGTCAGCTTCTCTGCTGGATGGAGAAGGGAAGTGGGGAAGTGGGGAAGGGGGGAGAGGGCTGTGCTGCTGGCACACATTTTTCACTACAGTGTACTTCATTTGTTTTTATTTGTTTGCTTTTCATTTCCCACACACAGATATGGGCACCTTCGAGAACCAGAACGAGGGACACTTGACCGTGGTCAGCGGTCATCCGGCCATATTCGATATGCCAGCGATTGATTCGGTGCCGAAGCCTTCGGTCTCTTGGCAGGCGGAGAATCGAACGCTCAACTATGACATCAAGTACGCCCTGACCCAAGCCAATCAGCTGATCGTGCTCAGCGCCGATAAGCAGGACGTTCAGGCGTATCGGGCACACGCCATGAACACCCAACTGGGCAGGGAGGAGGCGAGCGCCCTTATCTATCTGAATGTCACAGGCGATCCGTTTGTGGAGGTGGCGCCCGAGATAATCGTACCGCCGCAGGATCTGAAACTGAAGCGCGGCGAGGGCGTGGCCGAACTGCAGTGCATCGCCAATGCACGGCCCCTACACGAGCTGGAGACCATTTGGCTGAAGGACGGACTGCCCGTGGAAAACGCCGGCATTCTGCATACGCTCAACAATCCCTGGAATCGCACCTTGGCCCTGCTCCAGGCGAACAGCTCCCATGCCGGCGAGTACACCTGCCAGGTGCGTTTGCGCAGCGGCGGCTTTCAGACGGTCACGGCCAACGCCCACGTCTACATCCTGGAGCCGCCCATGTTCTTTACGCCCATGCGCGCCGAGACCTTTGGCGACTTTGGTGGTCAGGTGATGTTGCCCTGCGATGTGGTGGGCGATCCGACGCCCCAGGTGCAATGGTTCCGCAATGCGGAACGCATCGAAGCGCAGCTACTAAGTGGCGGGTAAGTGTGAAGAAAGTTTTATATTAAAATAGCCAAGTAGTGTTGTACAATTTAGGTTTTAGTGTTGGCTAAATACTTAGAATAGTTGAGTGTTCTTGTAAAAGAGTTGGTTTTATATTGGCTAGATGCTCGAATATCAAATGAATTATATTTAGTGTTTGATAGTCTAGGTCAGACAGCGTTTTCCAACACTTGTACATCAAAATAGTTTAGCGGTGCTGCAAAGTCTGAACTTAAGGCACTTAACTGTTAGGCAGACAGTGTTTTACAACACTTTTATATTAGAATAGCTAAGCAGTGTTGTTAAGTGAGCAGTACAGTGTTGGGTAAAGACTGAAGTAATGAGCTGAAAGAAATTTAATGTTTATGAAACCCTATTAGACTGTATTTTTAACACTTTTGTATCGAAATAGCTGTGCAGTGCTGTAAAATGTGCAGTTTAGTGTTGTACAACTCTGACTGCATTTTGCAACACACCAAAAGGTTAAATATTGCAACACTCATATATTGCGATTGGAATTACGAATTCTTTTAGCCATGGACTGTGGCTACTTTGCGGCCAGTGTTGAAAATTACCACAAAATCAATAGAGCACAATTACAAAATATGTAGATTACAGCAGAACGGCCATCTATACGCATTAAATATGTTAAATCGGTATTCGGGGCAATCGAGAGGCTCAACCGAGCTGAGCTCAGAAATATGCCAGCATAGCGATTTCGATTAATAGGCGTAAAGCTCAATTAGTAGCGTGGTCGGTATGCCAAAGTGGGCGGTGTATGGTGGGCGAGCCTCGATATGTTTGTGAATAATTACAGCTCATGAATGTTAAACGTATTGCAGGTACTCAGTGAAAGCCGATAATACGCTGATAATTAAAAAACTGACGCTGGAGGATGAGGGCATGTTCCAATGTCTGGCGACCAACGAGGCTGGCGAGAAGTCCGCGTACACCTGGCTGCGTGTGAAAAGTGAGTCAAGTGCTGCTAATCGATTGATGCGAATCGACTGATTGCATTCCCCACTTAAAGACCATTTCATTTATACATATATATATATATATATATATATATATATATTTATCATATCTGCATTTCTACTAACCAAATTCGCTTCCTAGAAACAGTTTGAGCTGCGCCTAATGAAAACAATCTACTAAAACGGTGCTGTCTCTGTCTCTTTTTCTTCCCCATTGTTGTCTCTGTTATGATCAAACAAAAAAAACACTAACATATGCAAATATATATATATATATAACTCTATATATAAACCCATTCATGTCAATCAACCACATTAAGCAGCCACAACCGAAGCAGCTGCTGTGCCGCAGCCGCGCGTGAAGCGTCTGGCACAGCCGCGCATCTTGCGGGTGCGAGCTTCGCATGCTGGCATGGGATCGGGTCCGAGATCGGGATCGGGATCGGGATCGAGCTTGGGTTCTGGCTCGGGCTCGGGCTCGGGCACGGGATCGGGATCGGGCATGGGCATGAACGCTAAACACCCTGGCAAGGGTAATAAACGCAAGGAGTTTCGCTTTGGTATGGGCATCAAGAATGCAAAACCGCTCACAGCTCACATTCACTACTCAACCCACTGCACCTCGAATTGAGAACCAAACTCACTCACATTTAGATCATTATCGCTCTTACATTAACTGTACTATATATAAGACTCTGCACTTGCATGAAAGGCATTCAAAACGCACTCATTTTCAGTTTACTCATTCATGTTTGCACTCACTCAAACAGACGTAGCACGAGTGCCACACAGAAACACCCACACACACACACACACACACACACACGGGCATACACAATGTTGCCCCATGTGGCCCCACTTGGGGGTTGGCTCAAGTGCAACATAATTGTGGCAATTTGTTAGCTTTTTATGCTCATATTTTAAATGCCGCATTAAATCATCAACGTGCCGCAAACTGTTGCCGTTCCCATTGTTTGTAGTTGGCGTTAACTGTGACACTCTCGTCATTATTAATAATACCATAATTATTAACCAAAAATTAAATAATTGAATAACTAAACTTTTATTGAGCTGAAGTCGGCTCAGTAGAGCCTGAACTGACTTGAGCTCTACTGAATTAACTCTTTAAATAGATTTTGCACAATTTCCTTCTTTTAGCAAACTAATAAATTATACTACATTTGGTATATAGATTTAAGGATTAACCATATAAATTTTAAATATTTTAAATATATACTATATATTTTTTTTTTTAATTTTTGTTGTTATTCATATAAGTTCAGAAATTCTTGAAAATGGAAAATCTGGATAAATTGGTTTTATCAAAAATGTATGTAAGAGCCGTGTATGTAAGATCCTATAAGGCCTACAAACTGAGGCGATTTAGTACTGTCCGTCCATCCGACTAGAACACCTTTACCAGCTTAAGACTAAAGAAATGTTAGGCAAAAAATATATATACATA